AGAATATATAAAGGGCATACAAATGAATAAGAAAGAAAACAACCCAAAATAAAAAAATAGGTGAAAGACTTGAGTGGACTTTTCACAAAACAGGATATTCAAATGGACAATATACATATGAAAAGCTGCTCAATACCTTTATTCTAAATGCAAATGGAAACCATAATAGGTACTGGTGCACATCCACCAAATCAGCTAAAATTAAAGATTGGCAATACCAACGTGTGGATATGGATCAACTGAAACCGGCTACAAATTTCTATAACCACTTTAAAAAACTATTTGGCAGTACTTACTGAAGCTAAACACACCTGAGTCTTATAATCCGGCAATTCAACAATCAATTATTTATTTAATAGAAATGAGTGCCAGAGGACCCAAATAAATGCAATCAGAAATGAAAGAGGAGAAATAACAACTGACACCACAGAAATACAAGGATTGTAAGAAAATATTATGAACTATTTGACAACAAATGGGACAATTTGGACAAAATAGCTAAATTCCTAGATACATAAATCTTCCAAAACTGAATCAAGAAGAAACAGAAAATCTGAACAGACAGATTATAACTAATAAAATTAAAGTGGTAATAAAAAAACTCCCAACAAACAGAAGCTCTGGACTGGATGGCTTCACAGGTGAATTTTGCCAAGCATTCCAAGAACTAACATCTATCCTCAAACCATTCCAAAAAATTCTAGAGGAAGGAAGACTCACAAGCTCATTTTATGAGGCTAACATTGTCCTAATTCCAAAACCAGATAAAGACACTAGAAAGAAAGAAAATATTAGCAAACTCAAATTCAGCAATACATTAAAAATATCATACACAATGACCAAGTGGGATTTATTCTTGGAATAAAGTTTTGTACAATATCCACAAATCAATTACCATGGTATACCTCATAAACAAAATCTAGGATAAAAACCATGTGATCAATATCAACAGATGGAGCAAAGCTTCTGACAAAATCTAGCACCTATTTGTAATCAAAACTCTCATCAAAGTGGTAATAGAGGGAACATACCTCAACATAATAAAGACTATATATGACAAACCTATAGCAAATCCCTTAAGATCAGGATAAGACAGGGATGCCCACTTTCACCACTCCCTTTTTAACATAGTACTGAATGGTCTAGCACAACAATCAGACAAGAAGAAGAAATAAAAGGCATCCAAATTGGAAAGGAAGAAATAAAACTGTCATTATTTGCAGATGACATGATTCTGTATCTAGAGAACCCTGAAGATTCCACCAAAATCTACTAGAATTGATAAATTAATTCAGTAAATTAACAGGATAAAAAATAAATATTCAGAAATTGATTGTATTTTTATACACCAACATGAACTATCAGAAAGGAAAACTAAGAAAACAATCCCGTTTACAATTGCATCAAAAGATATCTAGGAATAAATTTAACTAAAAAGGTAAAAGACCTGCAGTCAGAAAATTATAAGATACTGAAAAAAAATTTTAAATGCAAATAAATGGAAACATATACTATTCTTATTGACAGAAAGAATTAACATCATTAAAATGTTTGTACTCTCCAAAACAATCTACAGACTCAACACAATTCCTATCAAAATACCAATGGCATATTTCACAAACTACAATAGATAAATGTAAAGATTTATATAGAACTACAAAAGACCCAGAATAACCTCAGCAATCTCGAGAAAGAAGAAATAAGTTGGATGTATCACACTACTTGATGTCAAACTATTACAAGGCCATAGTAATCAAAACAGCATGGTACTGACATAAAGACAGACACATAGATCAATGAAAAAGAATAGAGAACCCAGATTTAGACCCTCATCCATATGGTCAGTTAATAGTTGACAAAAAAGTCAAGAATACACGATGGGGTAAAGACAATCTGTTCAATAAATAATATTGGAGAGATAGATGCAAAAAAATGAAACTAGACCACTTTCTGACATCATATATGAGAATAAACTCAGAATATATTAAAGAGTTAAATGTAAAAATTGATACCATAAAAATCCTAGAAGAAAACATAGGCAGTAAAATCTGACAGTTTTCTTAGCAGTATTTTTTTCTGATGTATCTTTTCAGGCAAGGGAGACGAAAAAACAAACAAAAAAAGAGACTACACCACACTAAAAAGTTGTTGCACAACAAAGGAAACCATCAACAAAATAAAAAACAACCCATTGAATGGAATACACATTTGCCAATCTTACATCTGATAAAGAGTTAATATCCAAAATTTATAAAAACCGCATACAACTCAACACTAAAAAAACCAAACAACTCAATTTTAAAATGGGCAGAGAATCTGAGCAGGAACTTTTCCAAAAAGACCAATAGACCCATGAAAAGATGTTCAACATCACTAATTATCAGAGAAATGCAAATTAAAACCAAAATGAGATATCATCTCACACCTGTCAGAATGGTTACCATCAATAAATCAACAAGCAACAAGTGTTGGTGAGGATGTGGATAAAAGGGAACCCTTGTACACTGTTGGTGGAAACGCAGATTGATGCAGCCACTATGGAAAATCGTATAGCATGTCCTCAAAAAATTAAAAATAGAAATGTCTTATGACCCTGAAATTTTACTTCTAGGACTATATTTGAAGAAACCCAAAACACTAATTTGAAAGAATATATGTGCCCCTATGTTCATTGCAACATTATTTACAATAGCCAAGCTATGGAAGCAACCCTAGTGCCCATAAATAAATGAGTGGATAAAAAAGTTCCATTTACACAATGGAACACTATTCAGCCATAAAAAAGGAGGAAACTTTAGTTTTGGGAACAGCATGGATGGACCTGGAAAGTAGTATGTTAAGTTACATAAGTCAGTCAGAGAAAGACAAAGGTCATATGATTTCACTTATATGAGGAATCTAAAGAACAAAATAAATGAACAAACAAAACTGAAACCGACTCATAGACACAGAGAAAAGAATTATCGTTGCCAGAGGGAGTCTGGGGTACCAGGTAAAGGAGGTGAAAGGATTAAGAAGTACAGATCGGTAGTTACAAAATAGTCACAAGGATATAAAGTACAGAATAGGGACTATAGTCAATAATATTATGAAAACTATGTATGGTGCCAAGAGGATATTGGAAATATCAGGAGGAAAACTTTATGTAAAGTATATACCTAACCACTATGCTATACACCTAAAAGTAATACAAAAGAATATTAAATGTAAACTGTAATTGAAGAATAAAAAGAAATAAAAATAAATTTTAAAATAAAGAAATGAGTGCATATGTCCACCATAAGACACGTATGAGAATGTATATAACACCATTACCATTATAGTAGAAACCTGGAAATAACACAAATTTTCATTAACAAGAGAACATATAAATTGTGGTATATATATATATATATATATATATATATATACACACACACACACAATGAAATACTACCAAGCAATAAAAAAATAATAATTACAACATGCAATAAAGGTGAAACTTATAGATATGATGAGCAAAAGAAGTACAAAAGAGGGTATACACTGTATTATTTGATTTATATGAAATTCATGAGTAAGTAAAACTAATTTATGATGATGAATTCAGAATCGTGGTTATGAGTTGGGGTAGTATATACTAAAAAAGAGGCATGAGGGAGCCTCCTGACCTGCCAGAAATGCTCTATATACCTTCGTCTCAGTGATTTTCCATGGGGTAATATATATTTCTAAAACATTCAATATGCACTTATGTTCTCTGCACTTTATGGCATTTATGTTTACCTCAATGCAATACAATAAAAAGAAAATATCACCTACAGTATAGCTCAAGAGCTAATGATAATATGTGCAAAATGAATACCAACAGGCAAGGAGTATATAAGGACATGTCTTGGCCCTGACTCCTATGTGATTTTTATCAGCCACAGATGGAGGGAAAAAAACATACATTGGTTCTGTAGGTCATGGTAGATGAGACTTGATGCAGCTTATATTCCTTTTAGGACCCAAGCTTATGCAATGGCAACAGAAATATCTTTTTGTTAAAAAAAAAAAAAGTGCAAGCATTTTTCCTCTAGTGTTTTAAAATATGGATATTTGTTTTTCTGTGCTATTAATTTCTATATGTAACATCTACCAGGTTATTTTCTTTTATCAAGAAAATAAAATTTCTTGTTGTGCCATCATTCTCCCATGTCATTGATCAATAAATCAAGATTTGTGTGCTTTACTGTGTGCAAGCTATACCTTGATACACAATTTCTTTTTAATGGCCCTGGAAGCCACATGCACGTGAGGCCTCCAGGACTTATGCACCTATAAGCAGTCTGGAGAACACAGTCCCAACACAGCAGCCTGTCTCATTTCCTCACACAGCAGCCACTCTTGTTTTCAGCTCCACCACTGAAGCAGCTCCTCTGTATTTCCCTGGAAGCATCAGACACCAGTTCTCAAGCCTCCAACTACAGGGGCAACCCGCTGAACTCTCCAGGTGGTCCTGCAGGCCCCTCACTGGGTCTGAAGAGGAAGAAAGCCCCATCTCCTCACCCGTTCATTTGGTTAAGGACTCACAGCCCAACAAGCTCTCCCCAACATATCTCTTCACAGATCCTCTTTCCTCTTCATAGCTTGACCTTCTTTATTACATCTTTAATGTGAATGAGAGGTTCACGAGTCTTTGAAACAATATCAGCATTTACTGTACGATTACGCTCCGCATTTTTATCTAGCACCTGATTCTGGTTGTACAGCCTTTATGGTTCGGTGTTTGCTATCTCCCAATCAAGAGTTCAAGATTAACCTCCTGTTGTAGTAAGTCAGGTCAAACCATATGAAATTGTTGATTGCAGATTATTTTGATCTAAAAGTGCAATTTCATATTGTTTGAACTAATAATTTTATTCAAAATAGGCTTTTTAGAGAAATTGAACTTGAGTTGGATTTGAACAAAAGGGAAATGCGGATTATTAAATGAATTCCCAGGCAAACATTGAAATGCCTTCTGCAAAGCATCTCACCTTGGCTTTCAGATCAGCACACAATTCCTGTTGTTTTTTTCTGTCCCTAGCCAATGCGCTCTCCATTTCATGTGTTGCACAGGCTTCAGCAAGGGTCAACACAGCCTTCTGTGTAAAATCTCTCCTATTCTTGTTCCAATTTGTTATCAGGATCCTTCGCTGCTCCCTAGCAAAGCGATATTGATCACAAAATTTCTCATGTTCAACCTGAAAAGATAACAGTGTAATAATAACATTACACTTATAACAAAAGTGAGCCTATGCCTTATGTCATTGTTACAAAAATGAATAAAATGAATTATAACAACTAATTTTTAAAACTGGGGACAAACATCTTAATAGTTAATACACAACCAGGACCAGGTTCCAGTCCCATGTTCTGAGCTTGTGGTGACTGAGGACTAACCGGTGACTGAGAACCAGTTGTTTAACATTTGTCAGTCCAAAGCTTCCTCATGTAAGACAGAGTCAGACCAAGAGGCCCTAAAATAACTTCCACTTCTACGTGGCAATGAATCTGTGAGCAGAAAGTGTTATTTCTCCTATGTATAATTCCAAAAATACTCCATCTTTAAATCAGTTTTGATATTTGAACAACTTCAGTTTGACATGTGCTAATAAACAAAAAATTGTTACGATAATCCTGAAAACTCAGTGTGCTCTTGATTATTAAAACTTTTTGATGTTAAGATGTTTAAACTTGAAGTAATTATAGCAATGACAGCAGCCCTTCCCATCCTGCACCCCTGAGGGGCATGGCATTCTCACATCAGTACCAGCAGTTCCTGTTGGCATGAATCCCAACCAGGAGACAGCTCGGTCTTCGGGGGGAGGAACAGGAATGGAGATAAAAAAATCTCTGCAGGTGATTCTGAAATGCTCATTATAGAAAGGCGTGTCTCCTGAAAGGGAGAGTTGCTGACCTACATAATTCTTTATTTTGCCACTATAGACCATGTCTCTGAATTTGATACATTACTTCACCTCTAAATGGTGTGAAAAGAAGAAGGTAGCATGCAGGATAAGGTTGGCCCTACCTAAAGTAATAATTTAGTATGGTTAATGAGGTGCATGATGAAACAGGCTACGGCTTCACTTAAACCAAACATCAGCTGCTAAAATCCGTTCTGTAAACTTTTTTGCTTTGTTCCCAAAAGCCAAAAATATGCTTAAAACCTCTCAAACATTAAGAAAGGAAGCCTACACCATGCAGAAATGCATACTAATCAACCCAATGTACGAAGTAAATGCAAAAATCTTATTATGTAAATAGTAGGCAAATATAAAGTCTACAAAGATAAAAATGACAGCTGGTCACAGAAGCAACTAGATTCAACAGGGAATAAAAAGAAAAATCTAATTTAATAAACTAAGACTTTTAAAAAATTCTGGAGAGAATTATTTATTATATAACATGTTTTTTATATAACAGGTATCTTCTGTTTATAGAGCACAACTAAAACAAATCACTATTGGGTGGCAGGGTACAGGAGAAGGCAGATGATGGTTATACCAGCTGTGTGGCCCTTGCTTCAATTTTTTTCATCTGTAAAATAAGTATAAAAATGGTACTTCTCTCATCTACTGTTACATATGTTACAGGAGTTTACACAGGACTGACATAAGGTAAATTCTATATACATGCTAGTATTACGGTCACTTGCTTAATTTAAACAATTACAAAAATGCAGATTATGTGATAATATTTTATAGAATGACCCATTTAAAAGTTAAGAGTCTATGCATGTTTGTTTACATATACATTTTAAGATGAGTTATTATGAAATTAATTGGCGTCATGGTAACTTTTGTTTTCTTGTCTTGTCAGCTGAAGAATGAAACAATAATTTTCCAGGCCCTTCTCAGGGAAATTTAAGCTGTGACTCTGAATATAAAGTACTTGTGTTTCAGACCCATTTAGAGGGACCAAGCAGAGTTGCTGTGGTGGGGATGGTATAGGTAAGAGCCAGCACCCAACACAACTGTTGGTTTCCTCATGACTAGAAGGACTGAGGTATGGCTGCTCTGTGGACGAAGGAGCAGGCATTCCACTTTCAGGCAAGACACAGAGATGAAGAAACCTCTGTTGGTGGGCAGGTGAATGTACAGACACCTGGAGGCCACATACTAGCACAGCAACCACGGTGAAGACCTCTGGGGCAAGTAAGCACAGAAGAATAAACATTGCCAGAGGGGTCGCCCACCTTCTTATGGGCCATACAGACTTGAAAAATGACAAACTTTCAAACTATAACCTTAATATTTTCTAGAATGTAGGAAAAACTAAATTTTAGAGCACCATTTAAACACACACACACACACACACACACACACACACACATATATATATATATATTTTTTTTTTTTACTTAATTATGGACCATGAAAACAGTTTAACTTTCTAGTACTCACCAAAGCACGCCTAGATTTGTGAGGAAAATATCTTTGTAACATGTCCAGATACAGAGTCCTTCTGCCACAAATATCTCCAGGATACTGATCCAAAACAGCCTGGTAAATCCAATGATCTTCTTCATTTAATTGGAAGTTTCTGGAAGGAACAAAAATGTCACAACATATTGTTAAGCAATCATGAAGTTTGAGGAATCTCAAACTGTTCAAACTACTAGCAAGTGATAATGATTACATTAAATGAAGTTTTTTTTAACATACTAGCTAAATTAAATGTCTGCTATTGAAAAGTTTCTAAATTTGAATACAATTGGATTTTTCAATTCTTTATTTAGTCTTGCCATGATTTCCAGGCATAATTTGAAGAAGTTTGACAATGAGACACAGTATTGTTAAAATATTTATTCTATCTTACCTATATTTTAAAAATAATTACCAATTAATGAAATTTTTAAAATATGGAAAATGAATTTTTAAAAATGCAAATTAAAAAGAAATTTTGCTTATTCAACAAAGTTTCTATTTCTAGACTGGAGGAAAATACAAACGTAGACAGTTAAATGAGCTAATTACATGAAGAAAACTAAGGCCTGAGGAATGTACTTCATTTAAAGTTTGACCTTAAAATCAAGCCTGAACTTACTTTTTCTTTACCTTCTAAACATCTCACTTTGGGTGGGATAAGAGTACACAATGATAGTGAAAAAATAACCAATGAAATTAAATTTTAAATCATTAAAGAAATCATTTGTAAAAAGGATCCCCTCAAGTCACCTTACCCATAACATGTCCACCATGTTCCAAAATGTCTTTTTCACTTCAGAACACTCTTAGCCACTGCCCTGGTTTGTGTTCCTATGTAAAGTTCACTTGACCTTTGAACAACACAGGGCACCTATATGGCACAGTCAAAAATATAGGTATAGCTTTTGACTCTGCAATCAGCTTTTCCCATTGGCAGGTTCAACCAACTGAGGAGCCAATACACTATTTTTTATCTGACTGCTGGAAATACATGGTTGGGAAACCATAGTTGGGAATGTGAAAATACTGTTGCAGTTCGTTGAATCCACAGACACAAAACTGCAGATTGGAAGAACCGACTGTATTTATTGAAAATATCCTCATATAAGTGGACCTATGCAGTTCAATCCCCTGTTGTTTCGAGGGTCAACTGTATTAGCAAAGCCCTATGTAGAGTGAAAAGGCTGCAATATCAGCTTGAACTCTAAACTGAATTAATGTGTCTTTATTATTCTGAGATTATTTGCATATTATTACTCTTGTTAAATAACTTGGAATAATCAAATACAGATGTAATCAGAGGGAATATTATTAGTAGCAAATAATTCCTTGATCCAAGATGAAGACTTGCTATTGTTTATTTCTATTATATCAATGATCTTCTACTTTAAAGTTAACTGTACAGTTCAAAAAATTTTTTCAGATGCCTTCTATGCACTTAAAAGATATTTGACAACTTAAAACAATAAAAAACTCTTTAAATCTGTGATACTAATGGGAATTCCACTGTCTTCACACAAGTTCAACTAGTCTGTAAAGCATTTCATTATCCTGGTAAATAGCAAGAAAGAAAAAATTCTTCCTCAAACAAGATTATCTCTAACAGCTCCATAATGGGAAGAAAAAGAGGGTTAGAGGTATTCTACCAGGAAGAAGGATACCCTATAGTTCCTCAGTATGACATAATCTGTTCCAAAGAAAGAATTCGAGTTCATTCATTGAACACCGTGAGTGTTTTGTTCTGTCAGTTAGGCATGTATTGACAGTCAAAGGCTTCTGCAAATAAAGCGTTTCAAATAGGGGTGTTAAGCCTGGGAAAAGGCTTGCCTGAGTGTACTTGGCATTTAAAACATGCTTAAGTCTTCAAGGACAATATCTTTGGTCCTCTCTCAAGAAACTCATTTTCATTATGACAAATTTTAGTAAGAGTTAGCCACATAAATTGTCTATTACTATACCACAGCTACAACAATGAAAAGACCTACAGTCCATGCCTTCATAAATGTTTTTAAACTGTCTCTATAAGCAAAGAATCTTTAACATGGTTTGAATTTCCACCATTATTTGATTACAAACGTAGGTGGGTGGATGTGGGAATGTTTGTTGGGGAAGAGGAAGTGACAGGATCTAAGTTCAATATTTTTTTTGTTCTTTTAAATTGTCATTCATCTATATAACAGATGCTGTTGAAGCCATGACCCATCACCTTTATTAACTAAAATTTCCATTACCAAGATGCTGATAATACAGAGATGCACCTTCATTCTGTGGAGCATTGCTCTGAGCCAACTGGGAACTACCTCATGCAAGAGGCTACTCTCCTACACACTTTCTAGGGCTATCCACAACCAATGATTGATTAGCTGATGTGGGGGTACAAAAGGCCACCCCACTTGCTTTAAGATAGATCCAATTATGTGATACCATTTGTGCTGCAGAGTTGCACTGTGGGAGCAAACTGCAGCTCCTTCCCACTGAGCTCTTCTCTTTGCACAGACATTCTCCCCTGCTCCATCTTGCCTCCCCTACCACCCTCCTCTGGAGAGCGTTGTCCAACAAGTCACTTGTTACAATCACGGTCTCAGCATTGCTTCTACTGGACCTGACTTAAGATAATCTATAAGCAATCCTACCCATAATTTTCTAAAATAGTTTAAATCCTTTGGTAAATGAAGAAGTACTTCTAAGCTAATTGCTTTGATGGTCCCTCATATTGAATGGTGGTGTAAGATTTTTCTCAAAGAGAAAGTGCAAATAGCAAACATTTATAAAAATGCTTTTCAGATAAAAGCACACATTAAGCAATATCTGTTGCTATTAATAAATAAAGCAGCAGGAGGATTTGTGGCACTCAGTGCCTTTTTATACAATACATTGCATGAATGTATTAATTTGGTGCCATTTTATGACAACACTAAAACCACTTTAATGTATGAAATGATAATATAACATTAAAACCAAATATTTCAAACCAAATATGTCATGAACAATGATCACATTTATTTTGCTCTTCTTATTGATTTTAGAAACCTCATGTTTCAACAGCTTTTCCCAATTACCACAATTATACAAATTATCAGTCATTTCTCTAGTATACATGGAATAAAAACATCTTAGAAGAAACAATATATAAACGCTCACAATATTATTATTTTTAGAGTATTTATAGCAGTTTCCGCAGCCGCAGGCTTACATCTCGAGGCAAACATTCACATCGGCAATGCTAATGGCACAGACATACATCTCCATTAGGATGTTGTTTGCGAGAGAGGAACTCCCCCCACTGTAATATGTACTGAGTCTTCTGAATGGCAAAACTCTAACACAATAGCCTCTTCTAAGCAGTCATTTCTTACTCAGTCTCTAAAGTAAAATTAAATTTACTATATATCCATTTCTAAATTCAAATCTGGACATTTATCTTTCCTAATCAAACCTTTATCTTTCAATTGTACAGAAAAAAATCTATGCAAAATAGCTTAGCTATATAAAATAATGAGGATTAGCTTTTACCTTCTGAAGTTCTTTTCTTTTTTTTTTATTTAACTGCTTTCTTGGTGATAATGATGACAGAATGAGCTAAATTACAGATATTGAAAAATATTCTGATCACTTATCTCCCTTCTGAATTTGGAAAAAATGACTATAATTTTAAGGAAAAATTTTAAAAAGACTTTAAAATTACCTTAAAGTTTTGCAAGTTTTTACATATCTTTATACAAAAGATCTTTGGCAGGACTCTGCAATTTTTATTTTTTTGGTCCATCCAAATTTTCTAATTTAAATTGTTTTGAAATTTTTATCTTTAAAATAGCACACTGAGATTTTACAGTTTCCAGATTTATCGGGCACTTCTAACACTTCCGGGAATTTCAGCCTGCAGAAGTATGAGATATTTACCACTCAATCTCTACCCACCATCACCTGCCTCTCAATAACGAAGTCCACTGTTATCATTTCATCACGATTTCCCAGGATGTGAGATAAAACAGGTAATTCAGAAAAAGAAGACCACTGGGCTGTGAGAATTCATCCAGACTAAGGCCGACTGTCTCCCTGATTTTACCTATTTGAAACATTCCCAAAATCCGAAACTGATTTAGGATTAATTTAGCTACCACTTTTCTCAGTAGTCATGTTTAAACCATTTCCCGATGATCTAGTTCCATGACATAAGATTTATTTTGCGGGGGGGGGGCACCCAATGGTGACAAATAAAATACATAAGAGTGACAGGTATTTTAACAACAAAAACAAGTCTATAAAAGAAACATTGCGTTTACAAACTGGCTGAAAATTGTTTTACATTTTCTCAGCGTGAAGGAGTTTTCCAGCCAAATGGTAATTAGCATTTCCCGAAGCTAGCTGACGCAGTTATCAGCATCTGCAACTGCCTCAAGGTTGGAAAACAACCAGTGAATCTGGTCTAAAGAGAAACTCTTCTCTCTTCAAGTGTAATGCTGTCAGGGGACACCTACTGCTCCTCCACTAAGACGCATGATTGCAGTGAGCCACTGGTAGGTTAATACGATTAAAGATAGCTCTGACACGATCTGCTTGTTTGGCTGCATTGGGACTAACCTAGAAAATATAACTTGACTTTACCTTTCAACATCATCTTTTCAAATCAGACCCATCCAAATACCAAATCTAATCAGCCTGGTTCCTGAAACTGTCTTCTCGTCTACCCACCAGCCCACCACAGGTCCACTGTCCAAACACAAATCTATCTTTGATTTTAAGCCTGGGTTGCAGGGAGCTTTAGACTCACACCCAGCCTTAGACTCATTTCTTACCAACAGAACCTGCACGTTGGGTTTTGTTTGGGTGTGTACACTGTCTTCCTATGACATCAATTCCCACCTAGCAGTTCTCACCTCTGGGGTTCCCGGGCCCTGCCCCATCTGGCTGTGCAGGTGGGGGTTGACCGCCAGAATAAAGCAGGCTCTCAGGAATGGGATAAAAATTAATTGAATTGAAAATTCAACAAAGTGGCTCTGAGGACGAAGCCAGATCTTGTACAAGCATACAAAGCCCCTTTTTTCTGACGGGTGACAGGGAAATGAAAATATGACAGGGTTCCCAAGACAGCTCCACAATTTCCTACAGGGGGGC